TCCCAGCCCAGTCAGAGGCCGGGGGCGACTACCGCTTCGCGTCGCTGGTGCTGAGGCCAGAGGAGGAGCTGCAGCCGACCAAGACGAGGGGCTTCAACGACTCGATCTTGCTGGACAGCGCGTCGAGGCCCTACCTGGGCGTGCTGGTGGAGCGGCTGGCGAGGCAGAAGAGCTTCTCGGCGGAGCTCCTCTTTCCGTGGTCGGCCGCGGCTTCCACTGCCGTGTTCAAGCGTGCCGCGGCCGACGTCCGCCTGGAGGCTTGGGAGCTCACGCCGCACATCCTCAGACACGCAGGCCCGTCACACGATTGGCTGACCAAGGCGCGGCCCCTGGGCGGCATCAAGCGACGCGGGAGGTGGATCTCCGACATGAGTGTACGGAGGTACGAGAAGAGCTCGCGGGTGATGCGGCGCCTGGCGTCGCTGCCGCGGGACTGCCAGCTGCTGTTGGCCGAGTCGGCCAGCAACCTCGAGGCAGGACTCAGGTTCGGGCGCGTCGGCAAGTTCGAGAGCAGACGCCAAGACGCGGGTCTTGTGTGAGGCCCTTGTTTTTGGAATTGTTTTCGGGCAAGCGCGGCCACTCTCAGGCCCTGTCTCGCAGGGGCTGGCGGTCGGCCACTTGGGACATTCGAGATGCACCTAAGCAAGACTTGTCAAAAGAAGCAGTAATTAGGCGCGTGTTGAAACGCATTCCCAGCGCGGCTGGGTGCATCTCGGCACGCCATGCAACAGTTTTTCGACAGCACGGCGAGGCAAGCTTGGCAGTCCCGGGGGCCCCCTCAGGTCCAAACTGTATCCTGGGGGCTTTCCTGAGCTTTCTGGCGTGGATGCGACCAAGGTGTCGGTCGGGAATCGTCTGGCCCAGGCTTCGATCCGTATCATTCGAAGCTGCATCAAGTTTAACGTGCTGTGTCTTTGGAGAACCCCAGGTCGTCCTGGCTGTGGCAGCAGCCAGTTCTGGCCCCTCTGTTGCGCAAAGCTTGTCTGATTAATATTGTATACTGCAGATTCGGAACCCCGTGGCGGAAGGCCACTACTATTGCCTGCTGGAATGCTGGTATCCCATGTGCGCTGGGGCCCCTGCGCGCAGAATGCAATGGTCCTCGCTGCAAATATTCTGGTGATCGGCATCAGGTCTTAGAAGGCAAAGCCCCAGGAGGCAAGCTCTGGGCGTTGGTCGCAGAGCCCTACCCTCCTCGCTTGGTTTCTTTGTGGGCGTCATGTGTCGACGCCTCGAAACGCTGATGTGGACCCCTCGCTTGGTGGCGCGGCGTGATGGTAACTGCGCTTCGCTGCTTGGTGTCTCCGCGGTGTGCTCGCACTGTTGGGGATATCGGCTGAAAAGTGCCGCCTCAACCGCCAGGTCGCTAGATATTGGCGGATATCGGCAAGTTGGCCAGCTGGTCCTTTTCTTTTGTCTCTCTGCTGCTGCCAGACAAGCCCGGCCGCAGCTGCAGCGAGAATAGCTTGGCCTGAGGAAAAATGGAGCATGTAGCAACGTGTAACAGTGTGCAATGCTGAATGTTTCCGTGCTGGCCGCAACTGTCTGTGCTCAAGCGGTTTTCGAGCCCAACCACTCCACTTCGCGCCTCTCTCAGAGTGCTCTCGCACTACCGCAAGCTTGGCAGTCGCTGGAGGAAAGTTGGCCAGCTGGTCCTTTTCTTTTGTCTCTCTGCTGCTGCCAGACAAGCCCGGCCGCAGCTGCAGCGATAATAGCCTGGCCTGAGGAAAAATGGAGCATCCTCCTTCTCGGGTTCCTCCTCCTCCTCGTGCTGTCACGAAATATGTGGTCGGGAAACTCCCTGGGAATGCAATTCCGCGTGCGTCCCTTTCCCCACCTCACCGATATTATCCTCCTTCTCATTCCCCACCTCTTCTTTCTCTGGTTCCTCCTCCTCCTATCGCGCAAGATGTTCCCAGGGGGACTCCCGGGAACATAAGTCCCATCCCCTTGCTCAAGCGCCTGATCCCTCCTGGGCGGCCCCTCCCCCTCCTCCTTCCTCTGATCCTCCTCCTCTGGCTGCTCTTCCTCCTATTCCTGTTCCTCTCCCTCTTCTTCCTCCGCCTCCTCCTGTCCCCCCATCGACTTCTCCCTCTCCCCCCCTTACTTCTGCCGTGTGCCCTTCCTCGTCACTCCGCGGGTCGTGGGGCCGAAGAGTTTCGGAAGCCGATGGGTCGTGGGGCCGCGATTGAGAATCTTCGACCCTAGAGGTCAGGAGCGTCCAGGGACCGAAGGATTCGGAGGACTCCTGGGGCCGACTTCAAGGGTCGTGGGGCCCACGGTTTCCAGGGGTATCCGAACCGGGGAGGGCGCCCGGATCGGGAGGCGCCCAGACCAGGGAAGGGGGGGGGAGGAGGAGGAGGAGGGGCAGAGGATATTGAGGAGGAGGAGGAGGAAGAGGGGGAGGAAAAGGAGGAGAGGGAAGTGGAGGAGGAGGAAAAGAAAGTGTAGGAGGAGCAGAAGCAAATGAGGAAGGAGGAGGAGGCGGTGGAGGAGAAGGAAGGAAACTAAGGAAACGGAGGAACGAGGCAGGCGAGGAAGGGGAGGAGGAAGAGGACGAAGGAGGAGGAAGAAGAGAAGAAGGAGGAGGAGAAGGAGGAGGAGGATAAGGACGGACATATGTATTATATATACACACATAAGAAAAGGCCTGCCTTGATACTTCTGCCAGGGCCTTGCCGTGATCTCGGCTAGGACCAAAGCGCGCGAAGCGCGCGCGATGGTTCTAATATATATATATATATATATATATATATGCATATATGCACCCATGAAGTACGCATCAATCGCACGACAACTATGCAGTTCCCTGCGGCCGCCATGGGGGGGCCGTGGGTTTGCCCGACAATTTTCACGGGTGGATAGCCATTCCATGAGGGAGCGTTCCAGGCTTCAGATCGCAGCGCTAACCTTCTCATCTTAATGAAATGATATTACCATATGGGAGCTATGCGTTTTCTTTTTTTCCAAGTGGCATATACAAGTATCATACGACGCCGATGCCATTTTCAACTGACATACGTACAGGTATCAGCCGAACCCGATGCCATTCGTGTTTGGACTCTAGAAAGTTCTCAAACGTACACTTTGCAACTGTCGCATGGCACCCGTGCATCCTTCACGCGAAAACCGTGCAGCTGGTTTAGGGAAGCAAGACCAGTCCAACATGAACGCTGCGTTTGTATGGAGTAGTCATTGTTTTAGCAAGAGTACCAACCCGTCGTTATGTGAACGCTGTGACGCTTCTCTTCTGGAGGTTGTTGGCTTCTTTCGTGTGTACGATACATGTTGCTTGAGAACAGAAGCTTATTGGAATCACAAAACAATCGAGACATGTATTACATTTGGGTCAACCGATCAAATGGATGTAGTGGCACGCGCAAGGTACAACTTTCATTAAGGAAAACAGCCCGAAGCAGTTCTCATATGGTACATTGGAGAATTCGATTTGGATGCACAGCTACTGTTTGCAGGTTCCACGTGAGAAAGCGCAAGCTACTGTTTGCAGGTTACACCGGTTCTACGCCATAGTACGAACGCCCCTAAACATGTTATCTTCAACCGGTCCATTTGTGCAAGCTGCACACATGACATCCGGCAGCTTAGGTTTCAAATGAAAATTTCCCATGCGGGTACCATGTTCTTCTCACCCAGAAGTGTACAGTCATCGGGCGAACGTCCATGCCTCATATGTGAGTTTTGTGTTGCTCACGTATTGAGCCGCTGCAGCTCGAACGTGAAAGTTGTGCAATGTTCATATGGGGCCAGACAGGTGTTATGGTGCATTCTACACTTGCCGTGTGAAAGTTGGAGAACATCGTACGATCGCCGTAAAGTTCCAGTAAGGGTGGTGACCGTGTCACGTTTCCCAACAAAAAATCCCATATGGAATATCGCATTGTGGTGCCAAGTCCAAATTTGGGCACCGATGGCGCCTGTCAGAACAAACGCTTACATGTAAGAGGTGCGTTTGGTTTCTGGATCGTCTTACATCGCTCCGCATCCAGAGTCCCACTGTACTGGTTAAGATGGCCAGGTCTTTAATTGGTTATGTTTTTTTTCGGCCGTTTGAAGGGTGGGTCGGGCGGTTTGAATGTGGTTGCGAATTGTCCGTCATGCGGTCCGTGCGGTTCCCCGCACATGTCGGCATACCCCTCAGCCGTTTCGTGGCCCCATCAGCCCCCAACGGCACAGCTCGCATGAGTCCCCAGGCCCATGCCGGCACATCCATCACACGCTCCGTGGCCTAAAAGGGAACTCCACCGAAGGCCCCAGCGCCGGGGCCCGCATGCACCCCCAGGCCCATGTCCGTACACCTCTCCGGGGAGCCCGACTGTGACACACGCGGTGCTCACAATTGCATATGGATGGTCCTTCGCCAGGACAATTTGCTGAAGCGCGGCTCGTTGATTTCATACGTTTTCGAAGAGCACTATGCTGAAACGTGTCGACAACCAACTGACGATGGACGGATTTTGGCACGCGCGCGTGGCAGCGCGCGAGTGGTCCCGCATGGTACTGTGCGATACGGGTTCGCGCACTTGGCACATACTGGCTCAACGCGGGCGCACCGCGTGGTGAAATGAAAATGCGGGGTCTGGACGAGATTGCGTCAACCATGTTGTTTCTCCGATGATCTCAGTAAGTGCTCGTGGCTAGAACATCTGCAAGGTTTTTCGTTGGACAACCTACTGGTGCTTCAAGTTATCATGTTGGGACGCTTGCGGGAGCAAGATCGTGGTGTTTGTTTTGGCATGTCGGCATGTGCGCGCGTTGATTTCGTCGCAGTGTTTAACATGATAGGTGGGGTTAAACAACGATGCGCGCCTTGAGTTGATTGACGGCGATGGTGGGGGGAGTCTGTGCAGGCCTTCTTGCGATCTGTTCGCGGGATATACACATATTCATCCAATGTCGTCTTCTTGCGCCGCTTCCTCCGCCCCCCGCCACCTCCCCGTCCCAATCCCCCTGCTACCACTCCTCCCAGTACTCTTGGGAAGGCGCGCACCGCCTCGGCGGGGAAGGCTGCCAGTCGGGCTTGCAGCAGCGGGCACGGCGGAGGAGCCCAACGCGAAGAGGGCCGACGCGGTGGACTCATCGGAGGCGTTGTGCCGAGGAAGACCGATCGATGGGGGCACGCCTCTTCCTCTGTGTGTTCGAGGGTGGCCTGGTTGCCGCGTCTGGAGTCGTCTCGACGTCCTGGTCAGAGCGTGCTGCAGGAGAGGTCCGCGGGCTTGTTTTCAGGGAGAACGGGGAGGAGGAGACGGATGATAGCGAAGATGACGGGAAATGGAGTAACAAGAGGAGTGTTGTCGAAGGGGGGGCAGGAGGAGGAGGAGGAGGAAGAGGAGGAGGAGGAGGAGGAGCAGGAGGAGGAGAAGCAGTTGCAGTGCAGCAGCAGGAGGACGAGATGAGGAGCACGAGAGCAAAGCAACAGGAACGAAGGGGGAGGGAGGAGGACAAAGACGAGACACATGTGGAAGTGGGTGGAGGAGGAGGAGGAGGAGGAGGTGACGATGACGAGGCGGAAAGGAGGAGGAGTAGGATGCGAAGAGGAGCAGGAACAATTGGGGGAGGAGAAGAAGATGGCAGTTGGAAGTGCGGACGTATTTGTTTGGATTGTCTTGTTTGTCGCGGTCTCTCCTTGATTCCAGTTGCCGAATCATGTTCGCTTGGAGGGGACCGTGGACGCCAGGCGGCCAGAAGATTCGGCGTTCAGAGTCGTCTCTGCCTTTTTTGCTGACTTCCATGTGCTCTCAGGCTTACCGGGAGATGCTTCGGCGTCGCGCGGCCGCGCCACCTAGCCCAGACGAGGTGAAGGAAGACAAGGGCTGGTTCGATTTCGACGACCTGGAGAAGAGGGAAGATTTCAAGACGTTTCTCGTTTCAGTCAGTGTAGCCCTGGCCTTCCGCTTCACCATCGCCGAGCCGCGCTTCATCCCTTCGGAGTCCATGGTGCCGTCCTTCGAGATAGGCGATCAGCTGGTCGTGGACAAGATTTCGAAGAATTGGAGGGACTATCAGCGCAGGGACGTAGTCGTCTTCGAACCGCCACCACTCTACTGGGAAGTGGTGCAACGGACGCCCAACGGCGACGCATTGATCAAGCGGATCGTCGCAATCGAAGGGGACTACGTCGAGATGAAAGAGGGCGGCGTGCTCGTGTTGAACGACGAGCCACAAGAGGAGACTTTCACAAACGAGAGAGCAGAGTACACGTTCTCTCGCCGGCAAGTTCCGCCAGGTAACGTGCTGGTCCTCGGAGACAACAGGAATAGGTCCCTCGACGGTCACGTTTGGGGGTTCCTGCCTGTGAAGAACATTATCGGCCGCGCGACTTTCAATTGGTGGCCGCCTTGGCACGTGCACACCATTGCAGCATCACCGCCATGAGGCAGGCACAAGATCACTTGGAATTAGAGGTGTATATGTGAGGAGCATTCTGTGATCGAGCGCAGGCTGAGTTTTGTAGCACGGTGTCGTCCCGCATCGGCATTTGACTGGCCCAGACCAAGCAGGGTAGAGTTCCCTGGGGATAACGCCCCGCTCCCTGCTTCGTTTTTTTAAGGTGCAGCTTCTTCCGGCACGCCACGAGAAGCGATCGGACGTTCGTGACAAAACAGCCTAACCGTTACGGATGCATGTGGTTATTGTGAGTTTGACGCGTGACTTCGGATTCATGAGGCATCGATTGGGATTGGCAGTGGATCTCGTGTAGATTGAGATGCGTCGATCCTTGCCTGCACCCCCGAGCCAGCGCCTGCAAAAGGCAAGAGCTGCCTCCGCCCGCGGAGCCGCACGAAGAGCGGCATTTCACGAACAGCGATTTCACCCGAAGGGCGTCTCACGGTCGAACCGAGGTACAAGGGCGAGGTCGGTTCGGGGAGGGTACCATAATTTCCCACCCGACAGGTTGGAGTCGTTAGGTTTATAGCACAGACCTCCTGGCTCGCCCGCCCTGCATACCGCGGCCGCCAGATCCCCAGGCTCCCGATAAACCCTGGTGGTCCCGCCCCCCCCCCCCCGCCCTGCATACCGCGCCCTCCAACGTTTTGGGGGCTTCTCAGGCAGTCTTGAGGGCATGGTGGGCAGTCTTGGGGCCGTCTCGGAGCGCTCTTGGACTTTCTTGGCCGCCCCTCAGGAAAACCTGAGGGGTCCTTCGGGCCGTTGTGGACGAGGTCACCATCCCCGAGGCCCACGCGAGAGGCCCAAGGAGCGCCCAAGAACGCACAAGAATTCCAGGAAGGTCCTTCCGTGGCCATTCTGGTTCAAGCCGCTCTGATCCAAAGCGGGCGCATCATGCATTGAACGCGTAACACCACATAACTTGTTTATCCAGCCAGATGGCACCGAAGCTCGTGGGCTTGCGAGAGGTCATTCGAATTGCTTCGGCGATGCTTGCCGCCCACTGGGCGTTCATATGTGCCGCATTGCTTTGTTTCCAGGAGGCCAGTACTTCAGCGCAAATGCCAGCTAAATACTGCCAGAAGTTCCACATCGATGTAGCATTGTTTTCTGTCGGGGTCATGCTCTACTTCTTCGATTGCTACAGTGCCGAATCCATGGAACAGGTTGCCAGAGTGAAGAAAACGATTAACGCGAGACCGAGATCGGGACATGAAAGCCAGCGTTTCAAATCTGACATGCGTACTATCGATTGCGCGCTGCGGTGGGGCGTAGCACACAGGCTTCCAAAAGTGAAGGAAGTTATGCATGCTTGCGTCAGACGCGGACACGGGGAAGCGGCCGTGAAAGTGTTCGACCAGATGTTGGAGAAGGGGCCCGTTCCCGATGCGGACCTCATCAATAAGGCCGTGTCCCACGCTTTCTTCCAGCTCGTCGCCGGAATTCTCAGTGACGAGAGCATTCGGATGGATGGATTGCGGCTTATTGAGATTGTTCGAGCTCATGGGATCGACATGTCGCCGACCATCCAGAACCGTTTGTTGGCAGCGTGGGAGAACCAGCTTCCAGATAGCGTCTTAGAGTATCTCCTTCATATGAGGCGGGAATGAGTCATCTTCTGCAAATGGTTATAGAGCAACATTGTCGTTGCACACGAGCGCTTCGATACATAATTCGTTCTCATGATCTATTATGACATGGCTGGGTTAGGAATTGAGCTCGTTCGGGCGGCGTACAATGCGGTGTTGGGTGACGAAGCCTGAGAGCTACGCATGCAGCTTCTTGATCATGCGGTGGTTCCCCATGCAAAAACCGATGGAATTATCATCACAGTTCGTTCGTCCAGTAATCACCTCGAGAGTGCCATTGCCCTCTTCGAGGCGATGCGGGAGCAGTGCCTGGAGCACATTTGCTACGCACACCATCACGCGATTGCTACGCCCACATTTGCTACGCCCACATTTGCTACATTTGCCTTGCGCTCCAGTGCATTGGACAAGCCAGGAAGCTGTATGGACACGCGGCTGAGGCGGAGGTTCCCCTCTGCAGGACCACGCGCGTCCTACAAAGTGGATCGGGGGGAGCGAAAGGGGGGGATAGCAAAGGGTAGGGTAGAGAATCAGCTCACGTAGCTGATTTCCCCAGCGCCTCCTGGCGCCGGGAGGCGCCCATGTATCGAGGAATGGGCCCGGCGGCGGGGCCGAAGCCAGCTGCATGCAGCAGATTTCGTAACCCCCCCTTTCCCTATCCCCCCCTTTCGTTCGGCCCGAGTGGACAGTCCTGAACAGTGCCAGCCTCAGAATTCGCCGGCCTCCCTGGGGAGGACGATCCCATCGCTGCGACGAACGCCGAGCACGAAGTGCTGGAAGTTCGTCACGTGGTAGCCGTCGGCGACCGGATCGCTGGCTGACGCAGTTGCTTCGGCCTCTTTCTGGCGCGGTCAGTCCCATGCCCGAGCGCCCTGACTTCGAAGCGCGATTCTCAAGCTGGGCCCGACGCGTGTGCATCGGGCACGGGCGCCGCGCGGCCTGCCAGCATCCCCCCCGGCCGCCGAAGTTCGCAGGAACCCACGGCCCACGGGGCAGTAGTGCTGCCAGTTGTGGCCCTGGCCCAAGGCTTGCCACGAAGAAGAGGGGCCCAAGAGGCGGCTCGCCGCGTCGGACTCCCTGGGGCACTGCGGGGCCCGTGGCCATTAGGAAACAGTTCGGCACGAGAGGCCAGTCCCGGGGGGAGGCCCTTGTGCCGAGAGGTGGCCCCAGAAAAGCCGGCATCCAAGAGGTAGAGACCCGGAATGTTGGAGTTCCTGATTTTCATTTACCAACTTCCACCTCCCTTTTGAGACAGTGATAGTTTTGTGATTCATTGTTTTGCCGATCGGCGCGGGCCCTCGCACCACCCTCCCTCCCTCCCCCCTCCCATGGAGTGGATCTTTGTTATTTTTGGGCGCCTGTTTCGAGCAGGCGGAGCCTCCCCCATAATGGGCGCACTGCTGTAAACAGTCGCACTAAGCAGAGGTCTGGAGCCAGACCCCCCCCTCCCCCCCCCCTTGCCGCCCAATGTCGAAACGCCGAATAAAAAACACTCACGAACCCGGAACTCTAGAGGTCCAGGTTTCTCATGGGGGACGCCTTCGGAACCACCTGGAATTCTGGAGTTCCGGGTTTCTCTCCAGAGGCCCAGGAACTCCAAACAGAACCGGAACGGCTCCGAGGGCTCCCAAACGGGTCCGAAACGGCTCCGAGGGCCTCAAAACGGCTCCGGAACGGCTCCGAAGACTTCCAAACGGGTCCAGAATGGCTCCGAAAGGCTTCTTGAGGGTATATTGTGCTCATCTTGGGCCGTTTTGAATCCATCTTGGGGTTATCTTGGGCCCTCTTGGGGCCATCTTGGCCGTTTTGGGAAGCATTTTGGAGCCATCTTGGCCGTCTTGGGGGCATCTTGGGTCATCTTGGAGCGGGAAAGGCATTGACCAGCAGATTTCGGCAGCTTTCTGGGTGGCCTGCGGGTTGGGCCGAAGCTCCAGGTGAAGCCTTCAAGAATAAACAAAAACAGCAAAAACATAACGCCAGGCACCTCTGTGATGAATCAAGGGGGGCGGCGGATCAAAGACGCCTACGGCGAATCACCGCCGCCCCATGCCTTTTTGGAAGCGCCTATGTGGCTGAACGTTGAGGCCAGACCTGCCAAGCTATCGGACCATGTGTTTCCCGAATCGGTTTGGAAAGCCTTCGGGGAACACGTGGGCATCTTGAAGGTCATCTTGGCCGTCTGGAGGCCATTTTGACCCTTTCAGGCCTTCTTGGAGTACGTCTTGGAGGGCTCTTGGGCCGTCTTGGAGGCCATCTTGAGCGTCGTGGAGGCCTCTTGGGCCATCTTGGGAGCCTCTTGGGGCCGTCTTGGGCCTCTTGGGCGATCTTTGGGGGCACTCGGGCCATCGGAAGGCAGAAAAAAAGCAAACGCCACGATCCTTCAAAAACTCACGGGAAATCAATGATTTGGGTCTTTTTCGGGCTTCCCTGGAGGCCCTCTTGGAAGCCTCTTTGGCCGTCTTGGGCCATCTTAGGGCCATCTTCGGCCGCCTTGGTGGGCGCCTGGCCTGTCTGACGCCGTCGGAAGCCGTTTGGGGGGCCTCTCTGGGCCGATTTGGGGCCCTCTTGAAATGTTCCAGGGCCGTCTTGGAGGCCTTCTTGGGCGTCTCCCCTGGGCCGTTTATGGTGTCTCTTGGGGCCGTCTTTGGGGCCTCTTGGGCCGTTCTGGACGCCTCGTGGGCAATCTTTGGGCGATCTTTGGGGGCTCTTGGGCCCAATCGAGGCGTCGGAAGGCCGAAACGAAGCAAATCTCAAAGTCCTTGAAAAACCTGAGGAAAATCAATGTTTGCAGCCTTTTCTGGCCTTCCTGGAGGCCCTCTTCGAGGCCTCTTGGGCCGTCTTGGGCCAGCTTCGAGCCAACTTCGGCTATCTTGGTGGGTTCCTGGCCCGTCGGAAGCCGTCGGAAGCCGTTGGGGGGGCCTTTCTGGGCCGACTTGGGGCCCTCTTGGGGTGCTCCAGGGCCGTCTTGGAGGCCATCTGGGGCGTATTGGAGGCCTATTGGGTCGTCGTTGTGCACTCTTGGGGCCGTCTTGGGGGCCTCTTGGGCAGTCCTGAGACAATATTGCAGGCCTCTTGGGCGCTGTGGAGGCTATCTTGGGGGCCTCTTGGGCCGTCTTGGGTCGTCGGAAAGCAGAGAAGAAGCGAATGCCAACATCCTTCAAACACTTAAGGAACATCACTGATTTTGGCCTCTTCGGGCCCTCCTGGAGGACCTCGTGGAGGCCTTTTGGGGCCGTCTTGGAGGCCTCTGGGGGGCCTGTTGAGCCGTCTTGGCCTCTCTTGGGCCGTCTTGGAGGCCGTCTTGGACCATCTTGGGCGAACTTGGAGGCCATCTTGATTCTAAAGCGAGCTGGGACAAGGGCTAGAGATTACGAGCGTTTGTCCGTGGCCGTTTGTGTTCAAGCGGCCGGCCGCCAACACATGATTGCGCCTCATTGCGAGGCATAGTATTCGCCATCGAAAACATCCTTCGCTTGAGATGGCCCGTCGCTCCCGCGACGACCTCCTGCTACTGGGACTACCGTTATTAACTACGATACAACAGAGCAGGAGCTGTGCTTCGCCTAAGGCGTACAGCTTCTGGACGGCCCCATTCAAACTTGGTGGCGGAGCTGGCCTATGGTGGTAAGCTCTAGTTCTACTCCTCACCATCCACGGCACTATCTGGTGGACTACTGACATGGTGGAACATCAGGATGCAGTGGGGCTGCGCGGAGGAATGTACATAACTGCGCACAATCGCAAGGACACTTGCAGTGCTAACTCTGTTCTCGCAGAGGCCACCTACTTGAGTTCTACATCCCTGCGCTACTACACTCCTGAAGTCCCCACCCACCTATTCCAACTGGAAACTTTTTCGAAGATATCATGCGTGGCAACATGCGATACGATATCGTGCCGCCTCCAACTCCACGCAGGCTTAAACAAAACACCACAAACCTCAGCCAACCACATCCGACCACGACCTACGAGGCCACCTGGATTGGCGTTACTATCTTTTGTCTCATATGGGTTGCTACCGGGTGCGCGGTGGGACACATGCGTGGCGGAGACGACACAAGGACAACCAGCCCCCACTGGGACCCGGCCGGTCAAGTACGTTTCCGCGAATTCGCTCGAGAGGTACATGCCTGGATCAACGTGACCACAGGCAATATGACGCCCTCCCAACAAGCTGCAGCACTGCCGCGTGGTCTGGGACGCCTCGCACGGACCATTGCCATGAGAGGTCCCCCAGCAGTCATTAATTTTGGCGTCAACATAGGTGGCCGCCATACTGACGGTGTCACTGACAATATGTTCCTCCTTGCACGAAGTTTGAGAACTTAGAGGAGGAACGCCAACTTAACTCGGGCACTGCTCTCATCGACTTCCGAGTCCATGCGGGAGAACGGATCGACCAGACACTGGCGCGCTTCGAGATAGCCTGCTATGAGGCTGAAACGGCAGGCTTCAACATCCTCAACTTCCAAATATTAACGGTTATTCTGTTCAGATCCTTAGGAGTGGGACGTCGCGTGCACGACAACTTATACAGCCACTTAACCACCAAATGTTGAGGAACCAGCAGCAATTTGACTCTCTGCTTGAGGGCATGAGGTCATATGTTCACATCGCTGAGCGAACCCCTGGCAGAATTGGTGGCATCTTCAGCCACGGTCGCCGTACCGAAACCTGTCATGCTGAAGCAAACGCAGGGCAACCTGCTACAAACGTCCGGAATGGCGATCCGCACCCAACGGAGACCACCACGCTATTAGCTCAAAGTGGTGGTCCGGCCACGGGGGCGCAGGACTCCTGGGCCAGATATCAGGGGCCGCTGGCGACGGCGGCCCCTGCACAAGTCACTGCCTCTGTAGGCTCCCACGTATCTTGCGGAAGAACAACAGGCCCAATGTTTCCAGGATATCAAAATCATAAACGCAGATGGAGACGGCTTATGAAGATGCCAATTCGCAAAGTACGACGTACTATCCGACGGGCGATTAGGGGAAAGGGCAAGGGCCGAGGCAAGGGTAAGGGCAAACGACGGCGATTGCATGGCAGAGGTATGTTAGCTTTCCTGGCCTCCCTTACTGGACCACAACATGAAGAACTATTCCTGGGCGCAGGCAGGGGTGGTAGGCGCGCATCAGGAAAGGGCAAGGGACATCGGTGCAACCTGGAAGGCGCCAACGGCAAAACAATGGAATTTTACATCTGACATCGCACGTGAGATTTTCGCCGTGAATGCTCCCAAGGCGATGGGAGAGGCAGAGGTCCGTCGGTGCATTTGGCTCCAACAGATTCGGACATGCAGTATGTCGATTGGGAAACCTTCCTGGCCGACCCTGCCGGCAACCCAGTTACAGTTGTTAACTTCATGGCTGCCAGATATCTAAGTGCCAGTATGCCCTCGAGAATTGCGCCGGCGAGCTCTTCGAGGATATGCGTTGGCCATGGCGAGATCAACCCGGCAGACCGGTTAGGTATTACCATCGCGGGGCAACCTGCGCATGTCGAATTTGTTGAGGATTTCCACATGCCTGTTGAGGTAGATCAAGATATGGCGGGGGCACCCGCGGATTCCGAAGCCACAATTTCAGCGACAGAAGTGGAAGTGCAAAAGATGCTTCATCCCCACTTCATTCGCAACCCGACAATCATGGAATCATATAGCGACGATCCTTTGCGGGGAAACCCGCGAGATGCCGGCGACTTTCCAGAACGCATTCAGTACGCACTCGGACGTACTGAAGATCATCAGTTTACATTCGCGGTTATGAGGCGGTCTCCGAGCCGCCAGGGGCGATCAACAAGCGGCCAAGTCTGGAGACGCGCGATCCCCTCAGATGATGACGAAGAAGAGTGGGGCGCTGAAGACCAGCGCGCGCAGCGCCATGGTCGCGTCCGCAGCTATTCGCGCGGGCGCTCGCGCGCACGTTCAAGCGGTGATCGCTCCAGCGGCAACCGGCGCCCTCGCCCTCCTGGCACGAGGGCCCCAAGGACCCCGGCACGGAGGGATGATAGACCTGGGGCACCACCGAGGAGGGATCGCCTGCGGGAGGGCCCGCCTCAGAGGGAGGGTCGCCCAGCCGCGTCTCAGGCAGAGGGCGCGCAGCGCCTTGTCAGCAACGATGACCATGGACTAGCTCGTCAGCACAAATTCCCCGATGCGATGCAACGCTG